CGTTTTGGACAGCTCACCTACGTGCGCGTTTATCAGGGGATGCTGAAGAAAGGCGATTCCATCTACAATACCAGGACTGGGAAGAAGGTTCGGGTGCCAAGACTGGTCCGCATGCATGCAGACACGATGGAGGTGAATATCGAGGCAAAACCCAGTCTGTGAGGCATTTTATTCCACTTCAATCCCTTTCCATTCAGTGAAGAAATTAAACAAAGGCAGGGGTTCCCAAACTCTGGCTCCTGGGCGAGTTTCAGTCAGGTGGTTCCTATCACGTCTGCATCAAATACTCATATTGATCTTTAAATTGTATTTGTTCTTTTATTTCTTATGTTGTATTCTGTCGTGTAACGATTCAGATTCTATGGGATGCAAAGTGTAATGCAAGAAAATGCAATATAAGAAATAAAAGAAGCAATAGAAATACACCTGCAAAGCATACCGCAGCAAGCCCAGCATATTACTGTCGCTGCAACAAGTAGAATAGTCATCAAGTCATTCGCCAAGGCCACCTGCAATTTTCAAGTGGTCCATGAGGAAAAAGGGGTTTGGGAACCACTTCGCTACGGCATTCTTTGTATGCAATCTGGGTCAAAGAGAAGGCATTTCTAGTTAAAGGTGTTTCAGTTCCTTGCCTGTGCGGTGGGATTTTATTTGCAGATAAATGCTGCACCTAAAATTTGTTTCCTCTCCAAAAACATCTATATGGTTTTCAGTTGATACCCTGCTCGACTGTACAGCGCAGTACTGTTGCCATCTCCTCCCTCAGTTTCGCCCCTGATCCTGAGGACACCTCTCTGTAGCTGCTTTCTCCCATGTGAATTGAGAAGAAGTATGAACAGCAGCATTTCATGCCTTATGTAGTGTAGGCAGACAGGATGTAGAAGATGGAGAGATGGAGATACAGCTGTTGCTGTTCAGTGTCATCAAGAGCCCTTTTAAAGTTTCTGTTCCCACTGGGGAGGAAGAGGTTAAAGAGCCCTTTGCCTGAGTCTCGGCTACCATGGGAGGGTGTACCGAGAGCCCTTGCCGCTGGCTCTCCAGCCTTCGCTGCTCCATTCAATATGTGCTCCTCTTTTGGAAAAACCAAACAGCTGCTGACCAAAGCTGCAAGCTCAGGAAGGCTTCTATAGCAGGCACGGCCAACGTCCAAGAGACTGCAATCTACTCCCTCTATCACTAAACTGGCAGGGATCTACCCATTGGGTTGACCAGAGTTGTTGAGCTTGTTTTGGGGAGGAATCACCAGAGCTGTTGAGCTTCTTGGGGGGAGGGTTCATCAAAGTTGTCAAGCTTTTTTTTGGGGGGGGGCGATAGACCACAGACACCCCACGACCAACCGGTAGATTGCAATCGACCTGTTGGACATGCCTGTTATATAACAATTAACATTCTGTCATAACTGCTCCCCTATTTTATCCACCCCTTGCCCTGAGAACCCCTTTTCTTCACAAAATGAAAAAAATGAGACATTCCCATGATGTTATAAAATGTCTGCCTGGGGAATCCCAAGTCGATGTCTTCACACCCAGTTAGCTTTTAAGCATCACGACCCTATAAAAACAGCTGGAAGTGGATGTCAGCATGGCTGCCCACTGATCTTTCAACAGTAAGGCCAAAATGGGCCATTCTTCAATTATTCTTAAGGGCTAAATTTGTCTCCAAGTTCATCTTAGTACAGTCTCAAAAGTTAGCTTTCAAGTTGATAGTAAAAACGCTTTTAGTCAATTGGCTTTTGTCATACTGGCAATCAGTCGCCCCATCCTCTCTGGAAGCCACTCGTTCCTGATCCTAGTTCCTGATCCTCTTCCTCATCTTTCTCTGGTTACTACTGTCTTGACATGTTGGCTAATCTAGCAGAAAAAAATGTGATTATCTAACTCCTGACAGGTAGCTTTACCAGTCAGCGTGAATCAGACTTTGCTGCTTAGCAGTGAGTTTTCAGGATCAGTGTGGCACGATCCCATTTTACTGCCGCAGACAACAAATGGGCAGTGGCATTGTACACCAATTGCAGCTTTGGGGCAGTCTTCAAGCAAAGCCCTATGTAGTGTACATTGCAGTAGTCCAGTCAGGAGCTTATCAAAAACCTAGACTATGATAGCTATGACTATAATTTGTCAGCCAGCTGGAACAAGGGCATAGGTACTCCTTGCCACTGAAACACTGGGAGCCTCTAGTGGCAGCTTGGAATCTAGGAGAACCCTGTTATAGTCAGGGGTAGACTATGCATGCAGGTCTTACCACTGCTGTAGAATGGTTGCACTCTTGCCCAATACCATAAAAAGCACATAGAATTTTTTGTTTTGTTTCTGCTAGGATGTGGAAGAAGTTTATGCAGGAGACATCTGTGCATTATTCGGCATCGACTGTGCTAGTGGGGATACATTTTCAGAAAAATGTAACACTGACCTTTCCATGGTAAGTTCCTCCTCTGAATTGAACTGTGTGTTCTTTTTATATTTCTTAAAATCTCAATTCAGATGTTATTCCTTAATCTAAATATCCTCTGTACTAAAGAAACTTTCACTTTTTTAAAAAAAGGTTTTATTTTGAGTCTGCTTTTACAGCTATTACAATTATTTTTTTAAAAAAATACCTACAAGTATAATCAGTTTATGCTAACGTCAGTTGTGCATTCTGTTGAAATGAATGAGCATGATCAGAAATGTATCATCCAGCCCTTCTATGAAGAGTACAGCACAATACAGATGTAGCAATCTCAGTTTATTAAGATAAGTGCTATGCCTGCACCTGCTTCCTTCTCTCCTCCCTTCTCTTAAATGCCATAATGAAAAAATTCTGATTTATCCATAACATCTAAACAGGGAAACTGTCGTTTAATTTCTGACTACAAACTAGGATCTGATCCCTTATTACAAAACTTTTGTTTTAACAAACCCCATAAATTTCAAGTCCTAAAAAGAAAGAGGAAGGCTGCCTGTGGGTTTGAGTGTTAAAAGTAAAGATAATTATCTGGAAAGATAATTTTCAAGTGTTTTTATATTAACAAATGCTTCTTTGGTTTCTCTCTTGTGTTCCTTTTCATAGGAATCTATTCATGTCCCTGATCCTGTCATTTCAGTGGCAATGAAGCCATCAAACAAGGTAGGCATCGGAAATCCAAACCAGGGTGAATAGGAAACGTTTTCTTGAATCTGTAAGGAATGTTGTGATCTGATTTTTCTTGGAGGAAAATTGTAAAGTTTCTGTTGCATTTGGTTCTTGTGTTCGGGAGAAGCTGAGCCTTTGGTGTGGTGGTTCTCCTGCTGCAGAGTTCCAATAGGCTTGATGCCCTGGCAATTTTGTGTGATCAATCCTAGTTGGGTATTTGCCGTATTTTTCGCTCTATAGGACGCACCTTGTTTTAGAGGGGGAGAATAAGAAAAAAAAATCTCCCCCTCTCTGCTCAGCGCCCCTTCAGTGAAGCGGCAGGAGAAACGGAGCCCCTTCCATTTCTCCTCCTGCTTCGCTGAAGGGGCACTGCGCAGTTCTCCCTCTGCTGAAGCCAGGAGAGTCTTGCTTCAGACTATCCCTGAAGCCTTTGCAGCGCAGCGCGAGTTCCCGCTGCACTCCGGAGGCTTCAGGTTCCTTTCGCTGAAGCCAGGAGAGTCTTGCTCTCCCGGCTTCAGCGAAAGCAATGCGAAGCCTCCGGAGCGCGGAGGGAGCGCTCCCTCGTGCGCTTCGGAGGCATCGCGTTGCTATCGCTGAAGCCAAGGAGTCTGCATTCACTCCATAGGACGCACACACATTTCCCTTTAATTTTGGAGGGGGAAAAGTGCATCCTATAGAGCGAAAAATACAGTACTTGTCAATGCAGTACTGAGTGGAGCAGTCTCAGGTTTGTGATGCTCTGAAGCCAACACGTTCCATTGATACCCTACAGTTTATAGAAACCATCTAGCTCCATTTTTTAATGGGATTTTGTCCTGTAACCCCAGCACTTTTGACTATCTAGTTATACTCAGTGATGCGAAAGACATTAATTTACCCTTGTTTTATTTCCCCGCCCCCTCTAGAATGACTTGGATAAGTTTTCAAAAGGCATTAACCGCTTCACGAGGGAAGACCCCACTTTCAGAGTTCATTTTGACAGCGAGAGCAAAGAGACCATTGTTTCAGGAATGGGAGAACTGCACCTGGAAATCTATGCACAGGTGATTGTTACAAGATTGCACTGGTCAAGTGTGCTACCGAGTCTCACTTGGCAAAAGTATTTATTTAATTCAGCATTTATAGTTTAGTTGTGCTCCCCAGCTTCATATCAGGCTATGTATAAATTATACAGTGCCGGTTGTAATTTTTCAGCTGGTTGTAATTTTTCAGCTAACAATTTTTTGTGATTCTCGCTCATGAAGTATATATAGAAGGTCAGAAATTTTGCATATGTGCAGGGTGTGGACCAAAAAATTACTCAAAAAACCCCAAATCTGCTCTGGGTGGGTGGACTTCTATCTGGTCCAGATATAAGAAGCTCTAATTAACTAGAGAGATACTACAGATGGACATTTTCCCAGTGATTGTAGGTAGCATTCGGGAATAATTAGGTGAGATCATGCTAAGCGCTACCCATTTGGCAACACATTTTAATCAGTTTTTTTGTGTGTGTGCTGTTTCTACCTAGAGAATGGAAAGAGAATATGGTTGTCCTTGTGAGACCGGGAAGCCTAAAGTAGCGTTCAGAGAGAGCATTGTGACAACTGTACCGTAAGTGTTCACTCTGGCATGTGAGAGGCACCACACCGAGGCCAGGAAATAATTTGCATTGGTCCTTATACATGTAGGGGTTTCTGAACCTGCATAGGCCTATTTTATAGCCCTTCCTCTAGCTGTACAAAGTTGTTTTAAAGACATCTGAACAACCTCTAATACAGTGGTACCTTGGTTCTCGAACTTAATACGTTTTGGGAGTCGGTTCAACTCCCGAAACCGTTTGAAAACCAAGTGCTTCCTGCACTCAATTGGAAGCCGCGTCGGACATTTGGCTTCCGAAAAACGTCCACAAACCAGAACACTTACTTCCAGGTTTGCGGTGTTTGGGAGCCGATTTGTTCGACAACTAAGCTGTTCGGGAACCAAGGTACCACTGTAGTAGGGTAGAAGCTGTGGCCACTAATCCTGTGCCGCACGTTTTGGCTGACGGCTATTCCGTGTGACTTTAACTCCATGCTGCGGGTTCCATAAAACTTGCATGTGCCAAGGAATAATCTCCTGTGGATTACAAAAAAGAAAAAGCCCAAATGTTAGAACAGCCAGGGTATTAGAGAAACCAAGGAACAGGGTTGTTATCTCTGCATATCTGGAAAATCACGTTCTTTTCCTATCTAGTAACTTCAGGCCAGGTCACATTTCGTTCCCCCTCCTCTTTCCAACTCTGGAATTCTTAACAAAGTGCAGTGACTCTCATAGAGCAAGGCAATCAAGAATGTGGATGGCAGGAAAAGGAGAGAATTGTTTCAATGAAATATTGCCAGGTAGTTCCTCCGCACCTTATTGTATTTCATGCAGTGTTGTTTCAAGGCTGACTTTTCAAACCTGTAATATAGGCGTGCTCTCTGCCTAATTCATGCACATAGGGTACCATGCAACCAGAAGTGTTCAATAGACAGCAGCCTCACTAGGTCATCATCTACAAATTTTGTTCTCACGATACTTGGGAATAAGGTTTATATCAGAGGTTGGCAACCTTATCTGAGGATGGGCCAGAGCGTGTGTACATACGCACTCTTCCAGGTCAGAGGAGCACCCGTGCGCATGCACACAGGCGCAATCAACCCGGAAGTCAGTCGCCGCGCTGCTCTGGTAAGAGCCCGTGGCAGGGGTCACCATGGGCCGGTTAGACAAGCCTTGAGGGCCGCTACCGGCCCATGGGCCTTAGGCTGCTGACCCCTGGTTTATATCTTCCTGTGGGCTTCCTTTGTACCTCTGGCTTGGTGTTGCATTCTTATATAACCATTCTGGTTCCTGCACCTTAATCTAAATGAGAGAAGCTGGGGTGGGTAGGAGGGGGAGACACAAGCTCTCTGCAATACAAGGCATTTGTGGTACATAAGAGGTGTCACTAGATGAAAAGTGATTCATTGCACTGTGATTTGTGTGCAGGTATGTACAATTGCAATATGGTGGATCAACAAGTTTACATATCTGATGTCAGATCGGCTAAGCTTTGCCTTCCTGTGTAGCATGCGCTTTTGCATAGTTGGGGGATCTAGAGTGATTTGCTGAATAGGCACCCACCCACGAGATGGACGTGGGCATTTTGTTCACTCCTGTTCTCTGCTTATGGCACAGTTGGGGTTAATCTGGGAGGGGTCACGGTTTGAATCCAAAGCCTTCCTCTGACAGAAGGAGCCTTCTAATAACAGAAGCACTCGGTGGAATTTCTGCTTGCTACCCTCCATCCCTGCACCCGGCCTCTTCCCCTCCGTCCCCGGCGCGGGGGCTGCCGGGATCCGTAGTCCCCTCGCCCTTGGGCTCCGCGCCCGCGCGGGGTGCGCGAACTACGTTTCCCAGCGTGGCCTGGCGGGCCGGGCGTTTTGTTTGAAGCGCTCTTCTCCCGGCCATGGAATGAGCGCAGCGGCGGCCGGGCGGGCAGGGGCTCTTCCGCGCAGACCCCGCGCAGCCTGCCTGCGCCCCCGCGGAGATCGGGCGGCAGGATGGAGGCCGGGGATCCCCGCGGAGGCGGAGCGGCGGAGGCGGAGGCTGCCCCCCAGGTAGGGCTGCGTCGGGGGTTTTTTATTTTTGCAATGCTGCATCCGCGCCGGAGGGGACGCATCGGACCGCGGGGAGACCCCTTGGCGGGCGTGCAAGGCAATGCATGCGTGCAGGCGTTGCATGGAGTGCAGTGCAATGCAATGGCAACGCGGCGCCCTGCATGCATGCATGCAACTTCCTGAACAATCTCCCCTCTTCTCCCCACTGTGTGCTGTTTGGAGGGTTCTGACTGCCTAGAGCTGGTTTTTCTTGGAGTGCTCAGCTAGTAAAGTTAGGAAAATGCAACTAAAGAGACAGGGTGCTTCAAGTTAGGATATAGTGAGGGCTGTGTGTGTTTGTGTCCTCTGCACGTTAAATAAATGAATGCATACTGTAATCTAGGTAAGTAGGGTTGGTTAATCGGCTAGGGTGGAGGTGGACACAGCCTAGCCTTATCCAGGATGGCTTGTAGAATTTGGGAAGTGAAGCTTTCATGGTAGGAGTGAACTGATGCTAATTACTGCAGATCAGATTGCTGGTGAATCAGTGGGACAAAAGTTGCAACCTTAACAGGCAATGCAAATTCTGCACCATGCATTCTGTGACACATATAGTTTATGCACGTTTACTTTTTAAAAAATCTCATTTGGTGGAATCCTGCACTTTTGCGAAGTCTGCTTATAGAATTGTAGAGTGGGAAGGGACTGCAAGGGTCATCTAGTCCAAAAAAACCCTGCAAACTCTTTTGCCCATTGGGTCCATTCCTTACCTTTGGGAATCTAACTTCTGAGAGTGCAGCAGGCACTGACAACACCCTTCGAGTCTTATATTTGTGGCCAGAAGTATCTTGAGCTTGAGTTTGTGTGTGCGTTTGTTTTAAATGAATACAGATTCTGAGAAAGGTAAATCCTGTTGCTCCATATCATGGGTCTTAGTCCTGGTTCTGAAGCAGTGCCGAGACCTGTGCCTAACCATGAAGGTTGGCAGTGCCTTGCTTTTCAGACTGTCTTTATCCCTTGCTCTGCTATACTCTGCAGACTGCACAGGAGGCTCTTAGTAAAGCCTAGGGATACCCAATGTCATGACCTCCCCGGTATTGTTCATCTACAAGTGCCATCATCCATGGGAGTTGGGAGTCCCATATTAAATGCAGGGCCCTCCATTGGCTATCCTGGTACAAGCCTGTGAACAGCTCTGGGGCCCTTGAGTTGCTCCTGTCCTAACATCCTGATACTGTGGTGATCACTGTTCCAGGATTGCTTTTTGCAGGAAAGGTCCTCTTCTCTCCCCCCGCCCCTTCCTTTATTTGCTTTACAGTTCTGTTACTTACCTGGGAGACAATATCATGGATCAGAATCACATAGGAAAATTCCAGGTAATCATCACTCCTTTTCTGCAACCAACAAAAGGGGGGGGGGGGACATACTCTGACTTTAGTAAGTACGGCTGCCACCCATGTATAGCTAGCCACTTTCAAGTGTTGTTTAATGAGCGTGGACACACCACTGAAGAACTTGAACTAACAGGAAGGAACTAGGTTTCCTTCCTTGCTTCCCTTTAACATCCAGAAGGCAAAGACCCATCATTTAAAACTCTGCCGTTCCTTAATTCTGAAAAGTGATTCTATTCTTATAAGAAGGAATGCTCTTGTTTCCATAAACAATTTAATGGGTTTAGAACTGACTCATTGCTTGTTTTTGTCTTAGTATTAAATCACTATGGAGACTCTGTGTACTTCTGGGTTCTTGTGACCTGAAATCCTTTAGGGCTTGGTCAGGAGAACTGAACAGAAGAGTTTCCCTTTAAAGAGGAAGTAAAATGAACTGTTCTCTTATATACTGTCATGGGAAAAAGAATTCTGTGGTTTTGCATATCAGGATATAATAACAGCAGGCCTTAAAATTAGGTAAATACAACCTCAGAGGAACAACCACACTTGACATATTATATTACACCATATCCTGATTTATTTAACAAAAATTAAGCCAAAATGGAGAAGCAGGGTATAAATTATTATTATTATTATTATTATTATTATTATTATTAAGAATATGTCAGGCTTTCTTAGGCAAGTATACACTGAGAATCCCATGTGAATCTCCACTTTGTGACTTCCTTCAAAAAATACTTTCACTTTGCACTCCACTGTGAACTCTTCTTCCCATAGGACAACTTGTCAGACTCCCCTCTTTGATCCATTCACTTACCACTTGCTTGACACTTTGCACTTTTGCCATTTTGTACCAAGTGTCTTCTGTCGAATTCTGCCATATTACGTAACCACAGGCAACCCAGGCTAAGTGCCGAACAGGCTTCATTTCTTCAGAGACATTTCCGAAATTGTCTGGCAACAGAAACAAATAGCTTGAATCGAACTGGGAAAGTATTAAGCATGTATAGGTGTTGTTTTTAAAAGTAATTCCTAGACACAAATTGCATTCTGTGCCAATCCCCCCCCCCCAAAAAAAAGTTCATTAAGGGTGTCTCAACTTTGCACAATCTGAATACTCCACCTTTCATGCAGAACTTGGATTTCTGTTTGGCAACCAGTGGCAGGAAAAAAGGCAGAGCTAAGTTTGGGAATAACAGGATTGCGTGAGTTGGCCCATCCTGACTAGGAACCATGGGCAAGGGACTCATAGCCGCAGAAGGCATGCATTCATTTGTTGGAAATACAGGCATACCTCGGGTTACAGACGCTTCAGGTTGCGTTTTTTTCAGGTTATGCCGAAACCCGGAAGTACTGGAATGGGTTACTTCCAGGTTTCAGTGGTCACGCATGCGCAGAAGCACTAAATCGCACTTTGCACATGCATAGAAGCGCCGAATCGCAACCAGCGCGTGTGCAGATGCGCCGCTGCAGGTTGTGAACGTGCATCCTGCACGGATCACATTCGCAACCCGAGCGTCCACTGTATGTGGGTACCGCAAACCTGTTTCTGTATTTGTGGCTATAGAGATATTACACCTGCTTTACTGAAAATGAAAGCGGTGGCTCTCCAAATTCTGCACCAGAGATCTGTTGCACACACTAAATGTACTATAACACGGCTCCATGTAGTTTGCTACTTGTTGCAGACACATTCCAGGCTCCGGCTGATCAGCTTGCTTGACCATCTCAAGTCACCTATTTACATGGCAACGAGTTGTATTTTTGAGAACTTTATTTGTAATCTGATACAGTAGCTGAATCCCGCGAGTGGTCATTCTGCTTTTACATTTGTTTAAGATCTAGTTGCAGTTGCTTTAAAGCAGGGGCAGCCAACATAGGAACTTCAGCTGGTCTGCTTTCTGTCTTGGCTCTTTGCTGCTTTCATCCTAAGTGGGACTGGAGTAAATAACTGGCCCTTGAGCCCCATATTCTTTGCCTGTACCTTAACTAAAGAAAAGCTGTGGGACATGTATTCAAGCAGCCACTCCCTCCTAATAGCACGAGTGGCAACCAAAATGGAGCCACTGAGAAACGAAGAAAACAACAGCATGCTCAGGGAACAAAAAACCCCTTTTCAAAAGGGAGCAAAAAATCACAGTCTGAGCATACTCCATACGTAATGCTGAAGGGGAAAAAAGGGAGTAGAGGAAACGGCTGGATGGAATCCAAAACAGAAGCATGCCTGTTAGGAGGGAGGAGATGCTGCAACATTTTGTTGCAGGCAACATTTACCAATTACTTCAAAACCTTAAGTTCAACACTAACACCTCATTCATAAAGGTAATTTCAAGTTGCATATTTTTTTAAATTTTAACCTGGAAGATTTTGTGCCTCTAATAGGTCTGGCAGGTTCTTGAGTCTGTTGTAAAACTTGTTGTCTGCTTCCTCTGTATTTGTCCCGAACTCCCCTTCCACTGTATAATGCACTTCGGGAGCGACATGTGGGTCGCCGTGATGATACAGGATTTCAGCGGTGCAGTTCACAGGACTGCCCTGTTGGAGAAATAATCGGACAAGTTTAAAAACTTCATTGGAAGGAGCTTGCTATTCTAATGATAAACACATTTTGCTTCGCCCTTGTTTACCAACATCACCTAACCAAAATAGCCATGATTACTATTAGAATATCCATATCCTTCTGTTACCTAAATCCTTGCTCAGAATAATTGTATATTGCTCTCTATTCAAGAGAAGTGTTCTGTGTATTATCTCTCTTCCCCTTTTCTTCAGTTGCTCTGCTATTGAACACTGCATCTCCCCCTGTTGTGGAATCATCCTATAATGCAGGGGTAGGGAACTTCAGGCCTAGTTCTTTCTGTTTTGCCATCAGAACTCTCCTTGGCTAACACCTCTCATCTTGCTTAACCCCCCCCCCCCAAATGTGTTTTTGCCTGGCTCAAACTCTGATAATGCCTCTTGATTGTCTGAACAGAGAGAGGTGTATGTGAGTTTGTGTTGAAACTTGCCTAATGTACAGGGGTAAAATTTGCATTCATTGCTCCACCCACTTTTGCATGTGGCCCTCAGAAGGTTGCCCAGGAGGGATTGCGGCCCTCAGGGCGAAAAAGGTTCCCCACTCCTGCTGCGATGGGTGATGTGAACTGTTATGCAAAAACAGCAGGAGGATTTGTTTAGATATTCCATCAGAGGGTAACAGATCCATTAGCAAGATGTGGTTTTGTGTCAATGCAACCCCATTATTTCAAGGGGCATATATGAAATTGGGGGGGGGGAGGGTCCAAGGTCAGGTACTAATTTTTTAAAGGGTTAAAATAAACTGTTTGAAGTTTTACATTCTAGAAGCAACGAATGCTTCTGCTACAAATAAGTGGCTTGCATGCAGTTCCTTATTGTAATGTGGCCGTGGGGCTCCCATGTTGGCAGGGTGGTCTTTAAGGTCCCTTCCAAGTCTGTACATCACTTGCTTTCTTACCCCTTTGAAGACTGATGTGATGCATGAGGTTATCACAGTTCTGTTTGTAATGGCTGATTCATACACGTAGAGTGATAAATATGAATCTCTAAACCAGCAATAGTCTCAGATTTTCATTTTGAGGTGATAACCCAAAGTTCTGCCAGGAACCTGTCCCTCTTTTTCTTGCATGCTGCATGGAAGTTTTAGACTCCTGGCAGCATCTTGATAAATGAATTTAGGATCAGGGTGCCCAGGGGGCTGTTGAAACCAGCCTAAGAATGTGTGCTGTCAACTTGTCCTAGAACCAGCCCTCTGCTTTTTGAAGTGGTTTCCAGGTAGTTTATGGCTGGAGAAATCTCATTCAGGAATCATACAGGCAGTGATACAGTCTACTTTTTACCATCTGAAGGTTGCCGTAAATGAATCCCAACTAACAACAAAGAAAGGAGCAGGACTTACTTTCTGAAGTTCTTCTTCCATTGCAAACTTCAGGCGATATTTGTGCCCAACACCTGGAATTTCCTGAAGTACAAAGAGAGTACATGTTGTTTATCTTACTTCGACTTCTGAGGACTTGCCAGGGACCCTAACAATATGAGGGTATTCTTTATGTATTCAGTATCCGTATCAAAAAAGTTAACCTATTGTGGAAGGTATTTTTTTTAAAGGCCAAGCATGTTTAAATCCCATTGATCTCAGTAGGTAAGCTTAACACTCCCTTGTTGAAATCAGCGAGGTGTAAAAATATGCTTAACTTTAGCTAGTGCCCAGTGTTTAAAAGCAGTGTACAGCTGCCTCGAAGTACCCCATTATTTAGAACATTTGCTGAGATGAAAGGTGGATAAAAAGCATTGTTATACTTTGGATGTAACATGCTTAGGACGTGTTGAGAATTCTTGTATTGCAGCTAAGTGTCCAAAAGATGCTTTTAGGGCATTCTCTACCAGCTACGATTTGGGGTGGGGTTCTGCAGGTGTGTGCCTGTTTCGGAAAGGTTAACATTCTTATTTGTGGACAGCAAACAGTTGCCAGGATCAACCAGGCTTTCTATTTGTTTTTAGTGCAACTGGTTCTGCAGCTTATCCATATAATGCAGCAGTGATAGATTCTACCCCCCGCCCGCCCGCCCGCCCATGGGAGACTGGCATTAGAGGCAAGCGTGGAACAAGAAGGGTTAAGGCAACGAGTTTACTCCGCCTTGAATAGGCGAGATAATTCTGTGGACTTCGTTTTTACCGATCGATGGGGCAGGTGGTTTGCCGCTGCTGGACCACGTGGCGCACAAAGGGAGGAGAAAGCTATAGCAACAGCTGTTGTCGTTGCCGATCATGGCGATCGCTTGGGGCGCAGCCCCTGGTCTCTTTGTGCGCCTTGTTGAAAAGAAAGTGTCGCTTCTCGCGGGCCAGGAGGAGCCCCGCTCTCCTGGATTAAAAAGTAGCAGAGATGGCGAAGAGGGTGTTGTGCGCGCGCTTGCTCCCTCTGCAGTGATTGGCGTCTTCAGCCTCGAACCCTTTTAGGAATCCAGCTTTGCAGAGAAGTTGCTCAGAGGAGGAGAAAGAGGTGGAGACTCTGCAAGCGCCTTTTTATTTAGGCGCCCAGATGCTTTGCCTTTCTTCCAAGTTAAATCTGGGGAGCGCGACTTTTGCTGCAGCCTTTTGCAGCAGCGAAACCAAGGAAGAGCCCTGCGGTAGCATTTAGGGTGCCATAAGTCTTGCTGGGGGTGTTTGGGTTTTTTTTTTTTTGTTTCCCAGGGAAGCGTGCGCGCAGGAAAGCAGCGCCTCTTCGTCCGCGCCTTCCCATCCCCGGCCCCGTTTACCTCTCGGCTGGCTTGGCGCACTTCCCGCACGCCGAAGATTTTGCTGGGGCTGCCGTGCTGGTAGTTGATGTAGTTCTCGACCACGCCGGCGGCTCTCGTGGCCGGGTAGTGCGACGGGGGGATCTCCATGGAGGCTTGCTCGGAGAGGCCTCGGCGCCGCTCGCTCCTCCCTGGCGGAGCGGGAAGGGGGGCCCGGCGGCGGGGCTGGGCCTGGGCCTGGGCGGTGGCTGCAGCAGCCGCCGCGCACAATGGGGTTTCTTGCGCCGCCGGCGGGAGAGAACCAGGAAGCGGCGGCGGCGGCAGGAGGAGGAGGAGGAAGAGGGCGAGCCGAGCGGGGGCTGCTGGGGCGCAGAGGCGCAACATCTGCCCGCCCGGGCTCCCCATCTGGGCCGGGGGTGGATCTTGCGCGGCGAAGCTACAAGGAAGAGAGTCGAGATGGGGGCGCTTGGAGATGAACCATTAGGTCAAAATTCCAAAGATCCGTGTATATATTGGGCCGCTCAGGACAAACAGGACGATCCGTGCATGTTTACTTGGGAGTTCATGGGATTCCCGGGACCTCAGCCAAGGGATTTTGGCAGAGGTCGAGAATGACGTCTGAATAAAACCCCGCTGAAATCAAGAGGAATCCTTCGTAATTGCGCAGCTTCAAAAACGCGATGCTTCCCAGGGAGCAAGTAGGTGCGTTTAGGACTGGGATGAAGGTGGTTTACTTCGGCAAAAGCTTGCAACCTGCTTCTTCCGAAGCCGTATGGAGCATCACCATCCCTTTTTGTGCCTCTGGCTTCCCGTCTGGAATATGAACTCGGCAGCCGAAGTGTTCTGAAATAAGAAATATCCATAGCGTTTGGGGCAGCTGTGGGGTGAGAGGCTTAAAAAGCACACAAACTAGGTTTATTAATCTTTGTAAAAATACAAAAGGAACACACTGCTTCAGCCCTGTAAAGAGTTAATTACAAAGGAAGTGGTGCTTCAGGTTAAGAACAGTTTCAGGTTAAGTACGGACCTCCAGAACGAATTAAGTACTTAACCCGAGGTACCACTGTACTGGACAGTTTATTTCTCTATTCCTACCATGGAAGGTTTTACAAAACTAAATAGATACATCACACACCACTGTAGTTTGAAAGAGCATGAACTTTGGGCTTTGTTTTTTCCTCTTTTTGGGGGCGGAAGAGGACATTGCTGCCAAATTGCTACAGTCCTGGACTTCTGCTGTGTTTCCTATAAAGGGCTGTTGTTGTTACCACTGGAAGTAGAAAAGCTTGTGTGTCAAAAATAACCAGCAAATGCAGTCTGCACACAAAGGAACTAGTCTAGTACTTTCTGTATTTGTTTTTTATATACAGTGGTACCTTGGGTTGCAAACGCTTTGGGTTACAAACTCCGCTAACCTGGAAGTAGTTTCTCCGAGTTGCGAACTTTGCCCCAGGATGAGAACAGAAATCGTGTGCTGGCGGCACGGCAGCAGCGGGAGGCCCCATTAGCGAAAGCTCGCCTCAGGCTAAGAATGGTTTTGGGTTAAGAACGGACCTCCAGAACAAGTTAAGTTTGTAGCCCGAGGGACCACTGTATATAGGTCAGGCCACCCCACCCCATAGAGTTCTTTGAGCAGCCCAGAAAATCATACAAATATGCAACAATACAATAAAAAATTCTGGAAAGTTAAATGCAGCATTATCGTCTCATTTTCAACAGTGAACAGATGCTGATGCTGATTAGCAAGCATTTTTGTTTTAGCTGCTGGCCCTAGCCAATAGGACAGCTTTGTAGTGCAATCCTAACCATGTCTATTCAGAAATAAATCCCATTTACTTCAACAGGGCTTATTCCCAGATAAATGGGGTTAGGATTGCAGCTTTACCAAGACATAATGGAGATGGTCTGGCAGCACCACTCAGGGCCCATAGAAAATGCACTCCTCTTTTTCTCTCACACAGGAGGGAGTGATGCTGATAGCAAGAGGGTACCTGCTAAAATATGTGCATGCCTCATCGGAAACAACCACAAATAAGGTTTTCTTCCCACAACTATGCTTTATTTCAGGATGAAGTCTGCATAAATTTGCATAAATTAATACTCATTTGACTAAGGTGCAAAAACGCACTTCAGCCAAAACACAGCCTCATTTGCACTGACAGCAGAGTGGGAGAGGGCGCTCAGTCCCAGCTGTTTGGATGTTCCAGAGGTTAGATAGGGCTTCGAAAGAAGCTCCAATCATATCAGCTGGAAAATAGCTTGTGTCCCCTTCACTCGATGCCAAGAAAGGGATACCAGTGTGGTTTAGTGGTTAAGAGCGGTAGTCTCGTAATCTGGGGAACCGGGTTCGCTTCCCTGCTCCTCCACATGCAGCTGCTGGGTGACCTTGGGCTAGTCACACTTCTCTGAAGTCTCTCAGCCCCACTCACCTCACAGAGTGTTGTGGGGGAGGAAGGGAAAGGAGATTGTGAGCTGCTTTGAGACTCCTTAGGGCAGTGATAAAGCGGGATATCAAATCTAAACCACCCTAGTCTTCTCCTTTTCCTCCTCCTCCTCCTCCTTCTTCCTTTCATATCTTTGGCTATCACCTGCAGCAGCAAAGTGTTCTGGGCTGGCCTTCCTCTCAAGACTCTTTTCTAAAATGCAGCGGAACTTGGAGACTGAGCATTCGACTGGCCCAGAGAGTAATTTAGCATCCTGTCCCAATAAGATGCATGTTCCTGTGCCAAATCAGAGTGCAGAGGGACTGATTTTAGGCAGGCTGAGTCACCATGGCAGCGTAAGGCCCTTTGCTTTGAAGAGCAGAGACATGTGGACTGGCCACTTATTTCTCATGCCAATTCCAACTTGTGCTAGGTGTCGAATGGGGGAAATGTCAGTATGAGCAGGACTCTTGCATGGAGTCTCTCAGTTGCTGCTTCCATAACTGGAGAGGCTTCAAAAAATACCACCATGGAAATGGTCTGGTTGTAGAGAGAGGAAGGATCTTTCTCAATCCAAGGTCTACACTCCGTTCTGGGTCAGCCTTCCAGGGGGGTCACATGTCAGTGTGGGCAAAATAATGAATATGAATTTTGCAATAGTACAGTATGCTAGTTTCGATATACACTTGCCGACCTGATCTTTCCGCCTTTGAGGCAGGCAAGCAAGAAGCATTACCAGAGTTCAAGGACATATTCCAGCCAGGCACAAACACTCAAGGGAGGTGTGAAGCAAAGCCAATGGGGAGTGTTGTGGAGGAGAGACAGGCCTGGGGTTTCTCATCCCTGCTGTAGAAGCTTGTTTGGGTTGTGGTTCCTCCATACAGTCCTCTACAAGAGATTATATGGGGACGGGGAAGTTCTGGCTATTTGTTAGGTGGGAGCCAGCACCCAGGTGAGAACATTGTGTGTTTGCCTGTAGTTCTAAAGACCAGGATTTGAGCTATGCATGTGTGCTGAGCAAAATGAATAGGCATTGCTTCCCTTCCTTTCTTTTTGCTGAGTTCATGTCTTTTCACAGGTTCGACTTCACTCACAAAAGGCAGTCTGGTGGAGCAGGCCAGTATGGCAAAGTGATAGGCTATTTAGAGCCTCTGGAGGAAGAAGACTACACCAAGGTGGAATTCGTTGACAAGACAGTCGGAACGAATATCCCAAAGCAGTTTGTGCCAGCCATTGAAAAGGTGAGGTCTGCCTCACCCCACTCCCCAGTCAATGCAGTTTTGACAGGATCACAAGCTGGTGATGGGCATCTTCTCAAGAAACAGGTTGGCTATGAAGCCAGATGAGATCCAAGCAGGAAAATGGTAAAAACAAGACACAAGGGAATGAAAAAAGAATTCAAAAGTACACACACAGGCACCCCCACACCAGAAAATCTTGCTAGGTAATAAAAGTGCAGAGAAAGACCACTCCTATGCATTAAAGATACGTTCTTATTCTTAATGCATAAGTGATTGCAAACTAGTCTGGTTGACACTGGATTTCTAGTACCTCTTTCTTGGGCCTTCAAGTAGACGGCAAGCTCCTTTGGTTCTGCCTCCTGCTTGCATCTCTGTGGAAAACATGCTTTAAATGCCCTTGGGCCCTTTGACTGTCTTTCCTAAGTGCATTCCCTAAATAGGCTGGTCCATTGCATTCTGCTTAGCTTTTGCCATCATCGTAAAATAAATGCCTGCAGTTCGTCCATGTTGACTTGCTCTTGGTGAAGGAGGCAGAGAGGGATTCTTTCTTTTGATAACAAGAGAGACTGTATCTTCTACCTTTTGGTAAGGTTACTGTTTCATTTTTGTTTTTTTAAAAGGTGATGGTTCTGGTAAGGTACCCTTCAAATCTGTTTCATATCCTACTGGCACTAATTATTACTTCTATAAGCTGAAATTTGGAGCAGGGTTCTAGGTGTGCTAAGAGACGATGGTTTTGAGCTAGCATTGTAGGTACAGAGGCTGTTTGTGGGTGAGTGTGCATGCAGGTCGACTGAGAGAAAGTGGATGTGGAATTTTTGTGGGTATTTTATTTTATCTTATTTTATGGGTTTCTGATGTTTTCTCTTTTTTATATGCAGCATTTAATTTTGATTAAGTTCCTCTTGCAGTCTTTTTTTTTAAATGAGAGTGGTATAAACACTGAAATAAACAATTAGAAATCAACCATAGTAAATGTTGGTATACCTGTAATGCTAGTTCATCAATCTCTTTGGTTTCGAGTTTGCTCTGTGCAGGAAAGAGAGAAGGGGGAGGGAGTGTGTTTTCCGCGCCGTTGGAAACCATTGTTTGCGGAGAACTATTAACATTGCAGTTTTGTTGCTCCTTTCCCTTTCAAGTCGGGCATGGTCATTTTGGCTGCAAAGGCCTACTTGTCTACACGTTTCCTCCAGCCACCTGCATGTCAAAGGACTTGCCACCGTTTGAACTGAAGTCGCTAACGCTGAGGCTATTCTTTTATAGGGGTTCCTTGAGGCGTGCGAAAAAGGCCCTTTGACGGCTCACAAGGTTTCCGGGATACGGTTCGTCTTAGAGGACGGTGCGAGTCACATGGTGGACTCCAACGAAATCGCTTTCATCCGAGCTGGTGAAGGAGCCTTGAAACAAGGTACTGCTTCAGAGATGGGGCGCTTCCAACCTTAACCACATAGCTATTCTCTATTTCCATTTCCCCCCTGCAGTTTATCCGGAATAGTTTTGTGAATAGTGCAGTTGCTGCTATGAAGTTCGCCACTTTTGTGTCTAGCTCTGGCGTTTTCTGCATCAACCTTAAGCTTATTTTCCTCCTTTCATTTTAAAGCTGTCCACTTCTGCCCAATTTCCAGCTCTTCTTCCTTCTGAGGAAGCTCATTGATCTGTATATGCATACTTGCATATTTCATGTTTTCTCCCATGTTGTTTCTCATTTCGGGAACACCTTTTCCCTCTCCCTGTTCGGCCTCACCGTTGCTATTAAGGTCAAACGTGACTGTCACTCCATCGCATCCCCTTCTTTTCCTTGCCATAGTTAATGCCAATGCTTCCTGCTGCTACTCTTTCCCATGATAATGTGTGTGCATCTGCTAACTCAAGATAATATATGTCTGGAATAAAGCATTTGCAATAATCAGTTTATTGGACTTCAATGTGCTGCCTGACTTGTTGCTGTCTTTCCACTTACTCCTCTGTGGTATACTTAGACTATAGGTCTCCTGAACACCAAACACATTTCATCTCTGTTCTGTTCAGTGCATAGTTGTGTTATTAGCACTAATTACACATTTATTGGTGGTTCATTTTATTTTTTAATTAAATTTGTATACTGCCCTTCATTTGAAAATCACAGAGTGGTTCATTACGAATGAGTACATGAAAGACGGCTTTTTGTTCAAAATTGAGACCTGGCTATTAGATACTGTATTGAAAACAAATGCAGGCCTGATGTTAACTTGTACCTGTGTGCAATATTTTTTCTTGAACATATATAAATTACCTGGCATTCTGTATCCACCAGTGGAGATAGCCCAGGGATTTGTCACTGATGGATTTGTCCCTGTTGTCTTCTGATCCCATCGTGCATTCGTCAGGGATTATGTTGCCTCTGAAAATAGATGTTCTGTGTATATAATATGGCTAATAGTCGTGCATTTTGATAAGCAGTTAATTAAACCAAAGTTAATACATTCCAGTTTTTTTCTTAATCAATTTACACAGTTCCTTTGGTCTGTTTAGGTGACTCCCAAAACTTTGCAAAAGTAATCCTTGCTGCACTCAATACCAACACTCATTCTAATATTGTTAGGTGATACATTTTGACATGCCCAAGCAGTTCTGCTGCTTGCAGATGTTTAATGTCTCTGTGTGCATTTATCTGTTGCTTTTTCATTTCAAAATAATGGGGCAAATGTATAGATAAAAATTAAGAAATGACATACGAATGTAAGTGTTCTAACATATTTTCTTTTGGACCCAGCTTTGGAAAATGCAACCATGTGTATTCTCGAGCCCATTATGTCTGTGGAAGTTGTGGCACCCAACGAATTCCAAGGGGAAGTGATTGCTGGAGTCAATCGCCGCCATGGCATCATCACAGGGCAGGACGGGGCTGAAGGCTATTTCACTCTCTACGCTAACGTAGGTGCTGTTGAGCTTGCTCAACTATTCTTGCTTTACGACTGAATCCAGGGGAACCTAACCACATTTTTGAAAGCACTGCTTAGGACTCAGAACCAGGAGGATTTGCCCAGAGGCCTCTTGGTTGCTGCTGTGCAAATCTCCGAAACTGTCTTTCCTCTGTCATCAGTGCTCCCAGCTGCAGAGGAGAAGGAAAAGAGGCATCCTGGGGACACACCAGAGGCAGATAAGGAGAGGCTTTGGATGCAGCCCTGGAATGGGGAGGAAAAAACCTGCCTGGAGCTGGCCTACCCCTTTCCTCCCTAACTCTCCTTTCCACCCAACTGGCTAGCCCATAACACAATATATTAAGAATTCCTCTCTGCTCAGTTAATGTTTATCTGGTGGGTGAGCTATAATCAGTGTCGTGGTCCTTTATGGTAAAATCAAATTTAAAAACCCAAATTTTATTAACCAGTTCAGACACAAATCAGTTTATTATAGTGACTTTTGGACCCCTTTGGTGCTTGTGTCCTAGTTAATTTCAGCCAGTTTCTCATGGTATTTGAATGAGTTTCTCACTGCTTCCAAAAAACACACACAAAAACACCCCTGTGGCTTAATTCCTCCCCCTCCCCCCTTAACTAACCAGGATATGGCTTTATATCCTACATAGTAAGCTAAGATAAAGGCTCACCATTTCCCATTCCAAATGTAACAGAAAACTGTGGTTAAAAGCAAGCCGGGTTATCGGTGCTAAAACCAGCATGCAGAGAGAGAGGTTAGTGGGGAACTTGTGGATCCAGTGCCCATTCTCAGCTTAATAAAGCAGCATTTATTAAGCAGAGTCATTTACGTTTGAACTAGCCCTGTGCAAAGTATATGTGTGTGCACTTAGCTTACTGTGTTTCCCAAACTCTGGGTTTGTAATTCCGAGGAACGTGCTTGGAGTGAGAGAGATAATCGAAATTGGGTTTAGGTAGCCCTAGTCTAGTGCCTTGTTCTTGCAGCAGCCACCCCAGCTCAGACTAGCAGAGTTTCACTCATGGGACCTCTGAATGTGGCTTGGATGCAATGTAGATTTCCTTAAATATGAAATAATCTCCTTCCCACCAAAATCCATATCACATGCATTCTCCATTTGCCATCAGGTTCCATTGAATAATATGTTTGGATATTCTAACGAACTGAGGTCGTGCACAGAGGTAAGCGAATATATAATTTCTGAGCTTATTTTTTAGAACAAACAAAACAAAACGTCTCTCTCTTGTAGAAAGCATTTTTGGCTGACGTTTACTGTTTCTGGTGTTGTAGCCACATCCCTACTGCAGCACACTAAAGGTCCTTTGCGAGGATGGCGCTGCAGCCTTGGGCTACAGTGTTTGGCTGAGTTTTCTTAGCGTCACAGAGCACCAAGGCAAGCAGCTCTAGAGAACGAGGGGTAGACTAAGTCTGGGAAGGAGACTGAAGGGGGAAGGCAAAGAATGTCTGGGAAAGCAATTCTGAGAAATGAGAAGAGGAAGAGACCAACGGAATCAAGAGAGGGGAAGGAAAATGGTGGAAGCAGCGGGAGAAAATGTGAAGAAAGTAAAGGTGTAGATGGGAAAGAAGCACAGAGTAAAGGGTGGTCTGAAGTGCTCATGCTGCAGGCTTGGAATAAGCCCCCAGATGTTAGATTGCAGCTGCATATCAAGAAAGTGACAATTTTTGTGACATATGATAGGAGTAAGCCAACCACTACCTATGTTACATTTTCCGGTCTGGAGGCTTTCTTAATCCATTATAATTAGTAACACCCCATGTGTTCAATCATTATTCCTGTTAACATAAGGTTACCAGATTTTTTTCCAATGAATCCGGGGACACTTTTCAACTTCAATGGATTTTGTATGGGGACTGATTTGTAAATCCGGGGACTGTCCCTGGGAAATGGGGACGCCTGGTAACCTTATGTTAACATTGTCCTGCATGTTTATCTTCCTGGTTTTAAACTGAGATGCTCTGAAGCTGACAGTGCCCTTGCTGCCTTTTATCGTCAGGAAGTAACTACGTACTGATCAGCGCTGGTTTGTAAGCTCAGGGGTCTGCTCAAGAGGCAGTCGACGGTTGCCGTGCCACTTCTGCATTTACGGTGTTTCGTTTCACGTGTTACATGGAAACGATGTCACGTTTTGCGTGATGCATAGAGTTAAGAATTTGTTTAACTTGTCCCTAATGTGGAGGTTGTCTTGTCTGCAGGGAAAAGGTGAATACACAATGGAATACGTCAAGTACCAGCCCTGCTTATCCAGTACCCAGGAAGAATTAGTTAACAAATACCTAGAAGCAACAGGACAACTTCCTGTGAAAAAGGGCAAGGCAAAGAGCTGATTCCCTGCATGTGAGCTGATCGTGAGGACCTGTCACCAAACATCTACTGCCGCCAAGCTCTATTGATTTAATGACTCTTTAATATTCAGAGCAGACTTCATCCTGGATCGATACTTCGACTTTATTAAGTCACTAAAAGACTGTTGCTGAAATGTTCACATAGAAATTCCATTAATTAGTCACTATCTTAATTTAATAAAATGTCTTTAGCTTTACTTTAAAAATTATATTGACTGCACATGTTCTATTTATCCTCCCATGTGAGCCCCATGATAGACAATGCCAGCTGTCAAAAAACGCTTGTCTTGATAAAAGAATTTGGAAAGATATATATATCTCCAGCTAAAACTGAAGTAGGTAATTACAAGATTGCTGGAGGCAGGTCAGTCTTTAGGAGCAAATTTATCATGCGTTTCAGAAAGCGTCCCATGAAAAGCAGTTCATAATTTTAATCAGTTTTCACTTTCCTTGCATATTCAGTACCTTCTCCCTGCTACACAGAATAATTTTGAAATTGACCAACTCATGTAAAATAAGACAGCATACACAAAATGTACCGGTATTCATTTTATTGGAGATGTTAAAAGTTAGCATCAACTGTTTTATTTTCAAAACTTAAAATATTTTATCAAATATTTATTTAAAATGGCAGTTTTAAGAAACTTAAAAGACATTTGTTTATATATTAAATTTGTCTCATACAAAGTTACCTCCTACCAGAAACTTGGTGACAAATCAGTAGTTTTTACATATATTCTTTTCATTAAAAAAAAAAGGTTTTCAGAAGTTTTAGCAAAAATATTTTTTTTCTTTTCAGAAATTACAAAGAAAAGAGGATATTTATGGTAGCTCAGAAGTGACTAGTGCAAAGCTTTGAAATATGCGGCAATGATTTATATAGAAGAATCACAACAGTGGTTTTGGAATATTAATGGAAGGTCATCTACACCTTCGCCAAAAAATGTTTTACAGCTTTTTAATGCAGGCGTTCTTCCTACTTAAAAATTACTTTCATCATATTGAAGTATGACCCCATTAGCAGATCCCTCTTCCACCCCAGAACCATCTGCAGATTCTGAAGAGTCGTCCTCTGAAGAGCAGTCATATTTCACTCGTGCCGTCAAGCCAGGTCTCCAGGCAACACGCACATGGCAGGAAAGGTTCTAGAGAAGCATGCAAAAGTAATCAGTATTTATGTAGCACTGTCGAGTGCTTGAATGCCCAATTCTACACTTAAATACTCTGAACTCTTATATTCATTTATTTACTTAGATCCCACCTTTCCCCTCAGACAGACAAAGTAGAAAAAAAAACCCCAGTAATTAAAAAGCAATTAAATAGCAATGGAATTAAAACTAACTATTCAAGCGTACAGATAATGGGCCATAAACATTTAATGGCACAAACCCTTTAGTTAAAAACAGCCAATTCCTCAAAGCCTGTTGACATAAGTCTTCACCTGCCTGTGGAAGGACTAGCTTCTTTTAAGCAGAAGTCCCAAAATCTGGGAGCAGCCACTGAGAAGGCCCTTCCCCACCAAGCCTGCCACTTATAAGTCCCGTTAAGTCTAGTGGAGATTACTCCCCAGTGAAAAGGGTACAAGGCTGCAGCTTAAGATGATCATAGACACAGTCCCATTGAACACAAATAAGACTTGCTTCCAAGTAGATAAATAAGCCCGCTTACTAGGGAGCAAACCCTATTGAATTTAGGGGGACTGCTGAATAAACACATAGGAACCTGAAGCTTTTTATTCTGCTAGTCAGTGGGTTACTGAGCCTGAGAGAGAGAGAACAACTTGACAGGCCACATAGTGAATTCATGGCTGATGCACCCTAATTTCAGCTCAGTTTCTTAGCCACTTACTATGCTAGTTTTCAAAGTAGATGATTGCTGCACAATCACACTTATTACATGAGTGAGAAGCAAGCATATGTATTGTAGTATTCTTACCTCTGAGGAATCACTTGTCAGCTGAGCGGTGTAGTCAACTTCAAAGATATTAATGTATTTTCTTACCTGGAAGAAGAAGATGGTCATTCAAAAATTCCACTTAGAAAATGCAGTGATTTGCATTAAGTGAAATATGAAAGAAACTGTTATTTGATCCAGGGATGGTGGGGGTGGCTCTATGCAATTTTGTGTTTCACGTTACATCAGCAAAAACTACCTGTTTTTATTCCAAGTGCAGTCAAGAAGTACCATAGCATTTCTGGTATACACAACAAAGCTTCCTTAGGACATCCACACACCCCTCCACTGCTTTTGCAACTAGCTGGAAGCTACTGTTGTTTATCATTGCTTATTGCACTAAGGCTGTGCCAGATCTTGGAACTTACCGTATTTTTCGCTCTGTAAGATGCACTTTTCCCCTCCTAAAAAGTAAGGGGAAATGTGTGTGCGTCTTATGGAGCGAATGCAGGGGGGAGGCTCTGCTCAGCGCTGCCTTTAAAGAGCTGCACACACGCTCAGCGCGCTCTTTAAAGGGAGTGCGGCTCTTGGGGGAGCCTTCCTCCTGCTGCCCAGGAGAGGCTGCGCGCGGCTATCCCATAAGCCAAAACAGCAAGAGGCTACAGAAGCCAGATCCCTCTTGCTGTTCTGGCCTCTGGGATTCAGAATATTTTTTTTCTTGTTTTCCTCCTCCAAAAACTAGGTGCGTCTTATGGAGCGAAAAATACGGTTCTTGATAGCATCACATTTGTGTTTGCATTTGATGGCAGAGAAAAGTGAGTCACCCTTTTTTTTTTTTAAGCTTAAAACATACCAGGGAGTAAGTACCACTCGACTGCGTCCAGCCAGTCCATCACACACACACACACACACACACACACACACACACACCCTCCTCCTCCGTATAAAGGCAACACCAAGACTAAGGAGGCTGACAGGCACTGCACCCCTTAGACTGGCTGTAAGTAAGGAGGTAGACAGATGGAAGGTTGTCCGAGGGCAGAATGAGCTTTGCCCCCGCTGCTGCTGAGGCCTGCAAAATCTGCTGCACAAGGCCCGTTTTCCCCTTGTGCAGGCGTAGAATTTCACCTACCCACGGCTTCAAATTTGTCACTTGTGTCACGGTGTAACTTCTGCGTTCAGATGATTTCTCCCATGAGATGTAACTGTTTCCAATGGCAGCCAAATTCTGCAGAAGATCCTGAGAGGGCTTGTTGCCATCTGCGGACAGAAAAATAGTGTGTGTATGTGTTTGTGTGTGTTTTTAAGGAAAAAGGATAATGAGATTCTTTTATGACAAGCAGACTGAGGCTTTCCTGGAGTCCTGTGACGGATGCTCAAGGCCTAGTTGCATATGCTGCAAGCTCCCTTCCCCCCCCCCCAAATGGGAATTTTAAGAACTAGGGTGAGAAGAGTTGCCAATGCTAAGAATGGCAGAGCTGGCCTGATCGTGCTTCCATTTCTTGGAAAACAAAAATCCATTTATCTCCGGTGAACTTTGGAAAAACAGATTATGCGAGTTTTTGCCTCACTTCGGCTTCAGTAGGAGGAAGCTGGCTGCAGAAAGCACCAATTTGACCACTATAGCTCAGTGGCAGAGCATCTTCTTTGCATTGAGAAGATCCCTGTCGGGATGGGACAGCTCCTTGTCTGAAAATCCTGGGAAGCGGCTGCTAGTCAATATAGACAATGCTGAGCTAGCTGGACCTCTAAATATTATTATTATTATTATTATTATTATTATTATTATTATTATTATTTATTACTTGTACCCCGCCCATCAGGCTGGGTTTCCCCAGCCACTCTGGGCGGCTTCCAACAAAGATTAAAAATACATTAAAATGCCACACATTAAAAACTTCCCTGAACAGGGCTGCCTTCTAAATGTTAGGTAGTTGTTTTTCTCTCTGACATCTGGTGGAGGGCGTTCCACAGGTCGGGTGCCACTACAGAGAAGGCCCTCTGCCTGTTTCCCTGTAGCTTTGCTTCTCACAATGAGGGAACTGCCAGAAGGCCCTTGACGCTGGACCTCAGCGTCCGGGCAGAACGATGGAGGTAGAGACGCTCCTTCAGGTATACTGGACCGAGGCCGTTTAGGGCTTTAAAGGTCAGCACCAACACTTTGAATTGTGCTTGGAAACGTACTGGGAGCCAATGTAGGTCTTTCAAGACCGGTGTTATGTGGCGACTTCCAGAGTTCTTGAATTCTGCTAACACATTTCTCCCCCACCATGCCTTTTTCCAAATGTCAGGAGCTGATTTGCAACAGTCCCCCCCCCCCTTTAAAAACGCTTTGGGTGTGGGAGAGGCGAAGGATGAACTTTTATACAAATGAACATATATGTGCTACTTAGAAAGGAAAGAAAGAGACAGACTGCTTCACGGACTCATAATCATCTTGCCAATATGCATGTCTGTCATGCAAGCTGTGAACCTGAGGGAGTGCCAGAGGTGAAGGACCCGCTGCGACTGCTCTTAACATCCTGCTTTTCCACCCACAAAGACGCTTTGGCCAAGCACTGCGCTGGGCTGAAAGGAAGGAAATGGTTCCTCTTTGTGTGCAAATCACATAGAGGGACCAAGTTCCTTATTCATTAGGAACTCAAAAGGATTAAGCCTCAGCAACTTGGCTACCCTTCTGCCTTCTCCCACAGTCAGAAAAAGAAAGGGGAAATAGCTACTGATTACTAAAGAAGAAAGCCCTCGTGTTACTGGACTTGCAAACCACAGGCAGCTGTAAGAAGTGCAGGATCACGGCATTCATCACTAGTTTTCCTGGCATCTCTTATCAGTCCAGGTTCATGCAACATTGATTAATTTTGCTAACTGGAATGAGAGATCATTTGCAAGAGATATACCTCTGATGCTGTGGAACAAGGCGACGTCCTGTAGCATATTCTGCGGAAGATGGCCTAGGCCCTCTGGGTCTTTGCTGTGTGGGCACACAATATCAACCTTCGGTTTAGGCTTTTCTCTCTGGTACCGAACAGTTGCAAGGCATGAGCCTAGATTTTGCTTAGGGGGAAAAAAACGAAAAAACAACAACAAATGATGCTATTTACTTCCAATTGAAAGGCTTTTACATTCCCACATGCCCGGTCCAGATAGCCCACTAGTGAATCCAAGAAGCACATTCTGAGAATAAGTGTTGCGCAAGTGAATAATTTCTGGAGGCAAAAAGTAGGCTGGGTGTGTGTGCTGGGTCAGAAAGTGGGGGACATATTAACCCATCTTCCACATGCCAGAATGTCAACCTGGACCCCTAGTCTTCTAGGCTTAAAAACAGCTGCAACCAAGTCATATGTCTAGATAGACTTGCTTATACAGAACAATTTTCAGCAGGTGTCTAGAAGGCAAAAGGGAATCCATTATAGCCAAGGGTTGTGCAGACCCTTGTTTGCCAATAGGTCAAGCACCAAGAAGCCACAACAGGCTTGTTGCTTTCGTTGTGGATAAGAGAAGTGACTTGGGCAGCGGCCAGTGATTATCAAAGGAAGACTCAGCAAAAACATGTCTGGGAAGTACCACATGTGATACAAAGTTCCATTTTATTGTGCAAACTTACCCCAGACTTAGCATCTTTTGTAGCAAACTTCAGGGAGTACTTGCGCTCAACTCCTGGGATAAACTGGAAGAGAAAGAAGCAACAGTTGCACTTCACAGCATTTTTTTAAAAAAGAACAACAATGAATCCAGAGGCATAAAAAAGCCCCCTAGAAGCATCACATTATAATAACACTTAGAATTCAAATGATGTCCTGCTGCAGGTTCAAAGTTGGAAACTTGATTGAAAGAAATTGTTCAAATGAGCCCTTTTGTGTGGCGATTTAAATCAAACCTTTCTAACATGTTGTGGGGTTTGTTTTTGGTTTTTTTTAAAAAAAGAATGATAAATATGTAGCGAACTTCTCCTTAATTTATACGTTGTAAGAACTTGTCTGCATGATCCAAAAACAAAACTTCCTTTCCAACCCTCAGTAAAACTTTCATAAGGTCTTTTTTGGTTTCTGGTTGCCCAAGAGAGGCTGCATTCGTATGATTATATCTTGGCTTATTACTTCAAGGTATTCACAACCATTTTGTCTGCACACACAAGCCCCTTCACATGAGCTGTGATTAGACCACAAAGTTTCTAATTGAACATCAGGAAGAACTGGCTGCAGTTACAGGCACAAGGGCAGAACGGGAGCTATCCAATTAATTGGCAGCTGTAGTCATCCAACTTCATGATGAAACTAGCCGTGTGCGTCTGTACAGGGCTTAATTTCCATGCATCTCCACAGTTATTTAAAAATGCTTGGCCATTTGGAAACAGTCCAGTGAACGACACTGGCCTGGTCCCTAAACTCTTGTCAAAAACAGCAGGTACATTTTCAAGCACCATTTCTGCATATCCCGAAAGGATGCAAGCTAGACAGATAAGGAAGGGTGAGGGAATTCCAAAACTGCTTGCTAGAGAGTTTAGACCTTGACAATGCACTGCTTGTTTTATAGGCTCCTCGCTAGCAAAGATATGCACTGAGGAATCATTTTACCTCTGCAAGATTAATCTTTCAATACAGAAAAGAAGAAGCAGAAAAAAATACTGCTTCAAGAGATATCTAGCTTCAGGCATTACATCTGGCCACTGAATAATGTTTTAATAAATGTCACTTATTCATGGATTTGTTTAACAGCATTTCTAGCCCTAGTAGCACCACATTGCTTAGACTCTCCTATCTGTAAAAATGATAGTAACATGGTGTTCTGTTAGGGCCGAACAAAGTAACCTGAGGAATCATTATATAGCTTTTTATAAGCCAAGACCCTGGTGTAGGGTTGCCATATATCCGGAATTTCTTGGACATATCCTGAACACTACATTTGGCAGCAATGTCCAGGCAGAAATCATCTCTCCTCTCCCCCCCACCAAAAAAGCTGTCCAGATTTTCACTGTTTGAAACATGGCAACCCTACCCTGCTGGTTCAGATATAATGCTAAGTATGGTTAAATGCGGAGTATTGGGATGCGGGTGGCGCTGTGGGGTGTGGGTGGCGCTGTGGGTTAAACCACTGAGCCTAGGGCTTGCTGATCAGAAGGTCGGCGGTTTGAATCCCCGCAACGGGGTGAGCTCCCGTTGCTCGGTCCCTGCTCCTGCCAACCTAGCAGTTCGATAGCACGTCAAAGTACAAGTAGATAAATAGGTACCGCTCCAGCGGGAAGGTAAACGGCATTTCCGTGTGCTGCTCTGGTTCGCCAAAAGCGGCTTAGTCATGCTGGCCACATGACCCGGAAGCTGTACGCTGGCTCCCTCTGCCAATAAAGCAAGATGAGCACCACAACCCCAGAGTCGGTCACGACTAGACCTAATGGTCAGGGGTCCCTTTACCTTTACCTTTTTATGGTTAAATGCAGAGGCAGTTTGAGGGTGGCACGACTGGTATGGCTGCACTGGGCACTGCTTTGCAGGGGGCACCAAAATAATGCTCCAGAACAGAGTGCAAGAGGCAGCAATGGGGGGAGGATTTTAGTGTCGCACGGGGCGCTGCTGAAATTTGAGAGCCCAATGTTAGCATCATGTGAGTCTCTGGCTTGTATACTCCTCCTCCAGCATCGCTAGGAGAAGGCAATCAGAAGCCTTCATTTCCATTTCCAACCAACCATAGTTTGTCGGTGCATGCAATGGTATAGTGGCAAATTCAGAGGTTCAGGGTCCCTTCCTGATAGTCACGTCTCTGTTTAAAATTACCAGAAGTAAGCTGAAAACTTAACTTTGTTTATATTAGTTAGAACAGGATGTTTAAACATGCTGTGGTAAAACATAGTCAGCAGTCTTGATCAAATTTAGTGATAGGCTGATCATCAGAGAGATATAAAGTCGTTCTAATAAAATCCTTTATGGAGCTGAAGATCAGTGTAAGTAAAAACATACTATTGCTTTTTAAAGTGAATGCCTTGTGGTTATACACAGCATTTTTATAACAGTGATGTTTCTCAGGGCGGTTCATGTGATAAAATACGAGGTAAAAACACAACTAAATACTTAAAACAAAAACAACAAAACAATAAATGCACCACCACCTCAAAGACATTTAAAAGGTTGTAGAATATTAACCAGTCAAAAGGCCTGGTTGAAGAGGAACATTCTATAAACAATATTATCCACCAATGTCCAGCCTCCTTTGAAAATTTAGAATATCAAGTTATACAGGAAGACAGACAAGTTTATGTATTATACACAGGTGTTTGCCAGTTTCAGAAGATGTGTGCTGTTTAAAAACTACTTCTTTTTGTCAGTCTGTTACTAACAGCACATTATCCTCTGAGTGATAATGTATTGCTCATCCCTCAGTGACGATCCTGACTCAAGCAAACCCCTATGACTGCATTACTATGTCTGACATTTTACAGCAACAAACAGGCCATCTCTGGGTCAAACTAGACCTGACAAAGGAAATGGAAACGTGCAACTCTCTCTACGGTCTCATTAAAATGCCATAAATAACAGCTGCTTTGGTAATGGGTGTGAAGAGAAACCCGCCAACTTTAGGACCACATGGCTGCTTTCAAATTTTGTCATACTCAAAGCAGACCCACTGAAATCAGTGGATTTAATAGGAGCTATTCGCATCTTCATAATAAACAATGGAAGCTAAGCACATTTTTTACAAGGCAGCCCTTATAAGGTAAAGGGACCCCTGACCATTAGGTCCAGTTGTGGCTGACTCTGGGTTGCAGTGCTCATCTCGATTTATTGGCCGAGGGAGCCGGCGTACAGCTGTGGCCAGCATGACTAAGCCACTTCTGGCGAACCAGAGCAGCGCACGGAAACGCCGTTTACCTTCCTGCCGGAGCAGTACCTATTTATCTACTTGCACTTTGACGTGCTTTCGAACTGCTAGGTTGGCAGAAGCAGGGACCGAGCAACAGGAGCTCACCCCATCACAGGGATTCGAACTGCCAACCTTCTGATCGGCAAGTCCTAGGCTCTGTAGTTTAACCCACAGCGCCACCTGCATCCCCTCCCTTATAAGGTACTGCCACATTAAAAAATACTCACCCTAAAGCAAGTTCCAGGAAATTAGCTTGTAAGAGCAGGATTGAGGTTGACGTTTGGGGAACTTGCTTAAGGGACATTTTGTGTGGGGGTTTTTTGGGGGGGGTGTGTGTGTGTGAAAGTGGCAGGGCAGTCCCCCCCAAAATGCCCCTCTCCTCAGTATCTTCTTATATGGTAATCCTAGATACATTTGCATGGGAGGAATTCCCTTTGCGCCCAGTAGGGCTTTCTTCTGAATAGGAATGCCTAAGGCCGAGTTGGTAGTTGTGTTAGTCAATAAGGCCCACAGTTTACTTAATGAGACTTATTGCCTAATAAAGCCACTTCTGGCCTGCCCAGGAGGTGGGGTTGCGGGCTTCACGCTCACCCCCCACGTGAGCGGGGGCTGGTTTCAGCCCCCGCGAGAGCAGGGGAATCCCGGCTGTGACCTGCCCTATTTAGGGCCGACGCAGAGGGGGCTCGCCCTCTTTTCGCCGGCTAGCCCTCACGTTTTCCCACCCTCCCTCCCTTTAGGTAGGTCTCTGACTTTGCTATGGACTTCGGTCTGTCGCCGCAAGGGGCATGGTAGGAATTTTTCCCAATTGGCAATTTCAGCCATTTGGTTTTTCGCCTACCTCGTAGCAACTCGTCACAACTTTTCGGCATTGGCGGTAGGCATTGGTAAGAAGGGGTTAAGAGGATGTGGGGGGGGGAGGAACGCCATCACCTCCCCCCAGTGAGAGAAGGGTGGTCCGTTAAAGGACTCCGGGGGGCGTGGCCCTGTCCGAAGCCTATGGAGGTGAGGGCCAAAGGCACGCCCCAGAGCGGTGACCCGGGGGAGCTCCTAGTCGACGTGCCTCGGCGGGAGACTCCCCCGATTAGTGTTAACCCTTCCCCGTGTCTCCAGCAAGTGGGCTGGAGCCGGATAGTCGTTAGGACCAATGCCTAAGCCAATGCCTCTCATTCCTGAATTCAATAAAGTTGTGGCCTAATTCGCCCATTTAACCTTAAACTATGGTGTCTCGTGTCTTTATTTATCCTGGTGGGGGGCGGGAACTCGCCACGCAAGTGTGTTATAGGATTGCAGCCTAAGTCAACTGAAATCAATGAAGTTTGCTTAAGAATTGTGCTGTATAATGCCCTAGGTGTAGAACAGGGATTGGTAGAAGTCAGATTAAAAGCAGGGAGGTGGGGGCAGAGTTAAAAGACAGCCAAATTCTGTCCCGGATCAGATTCCTATCTTTTAGATAGCTGCTTACTAAGGGAAAGTTTGGCAAGCCCAGCTTCTAATATCACTGTGCTCTGCTCTGCATTGGAGCACTCAAGGAATGGAAGCTCTGTCCAAGAGGAGATCTGGCAGCTGGAGAGAAACAATAATGAATTTCACCCCTGCAAAGCAAGCTGGATATCTGGGAAGTGAAGGAATCCCCATAATGAATCGTCTCCTTTTATATTTAAAAGCTATATCAAGGTTTTTACTGGGAGGGAAACTCAAAACATCCAAAAGGGAATCGTTTTCAAGATTGTTCCAGCATGAGAGAGAGAGATCAGTAATGGAGTCTACCGAGATGTGATTCGCACAGCTTTTTTCCATACAACCCAATGATGGTTG